GAGTCTCTGTTTATTCAGGCTTAAAAAGAGAATATCTATTATATTTGAGGTTTTGAGAAGGTAAATTGTTTTTACACACATTTCATTTAATAAAAAGTAAGATTTTTTTCACAATATTATATAGCCTATTTTCACAAAAAATGTTTGTGGTTTGTAGTATCTGAGGAGACTTCTGTAAATTACCCTATAGCGCCATCTGCTGATGCTTACTAAATACTATGGCGCATGGTGGTATTTACATTCATTGTATTACAATTTAGAATACCATATATTAATTCCCTAGCACATGTCTAGGGGGGAAAAATATTCTTTCTGACACCTTTTTTATTTTAATTTTTTGTAAGAGGAGACTAAAGAACTCCGGGCCATTTATTCGCACATGTAGATGACCAATAGAGGGCGACACCGAAATATAAATATAAGTGCATATTTATATTGTATATAATTCATATTTATTTGGTAGGTGTTTTGTTCCTTTTATCGAAGCGACTTGGATGCAAGATGCATGTTTTGTGCATGAACTTAAAATATTCCAGTATCATTATTACCTGAAACGAACCTTTTTAATGAAGGATAACGTTAACTATCTACAGCTTTAAGTAGCAGAGAGCTGCTGTTTAGTGCGAGTTACGTCCTTGATCTGTACTAACTGATAACAAACATATCAAGTCCGATGTCTTACCTGTTATTAAAACTGGGTGGGAGCTGAAAGCCACCCAGAAACTACCGAGCATCATTATAGAGCCCCAAACCATGCGGAAGGGCAAGACTATCCCTCAGTTCTCTCAGACCGGCTGCATATAGACGTCTGCTGCTGCAGCGGGTCATTTCAGTTTGTGGGTGTTTATGTGTGTGATCCTCCCTAATGTGGTTGTGCTCAAACCACGGGAGCTGAAAGCAGAAGAATCCTACTGAAACTCGAGTGAAGAAAAAGCAGAAAGCAGAAGCTGTAATCACTCGATACAACAACATCTGTTTCAGAACAATACGAGTTTCGCACAAGAGCTTATCACTGCTGTCCTGGAGCAAAGTAACTAACCCGGGGCTGATGCATGGGAACTGTGCCTGTAAATAGCCTCAGATAAAAGTGTCTACATGAATGCTCACGAGCAGCAAATCATTCGCTTTTGGATTTGGACATATTAGCATGCATGTTTGCGTTACAAAACTGCTAGAAACACTGAAGTCGTGGAGTTTCAGATGCCAACATTAGACTTTGGCTGGAGACAACAAAGCTGAGAACCTCACTTTTAGTTTACACGTTTGTACAGTTTTTAACCAGTGATCTTAATGCAGGTGTTCTCCTCTCTTTCTCTCCCTGGAAAGACGGCCAACTAGTCTTAAGTCAAAGCATATTTTCATTGAGTCACAGAGTGATTATTCAGTGCATTTGCCTAGTTTTTATCAAAAGAACATGTTGAAGGCCATGTGAACCAAAACAGCAACTTGATATCAGTGCAGGTGCAAGTTCAGCGGATGTGAGAGGCCTAAAATCATAGTTTCATCCCGGCAATTCTACAGACATATCTTAAAAGTCTGATAAAAATATACTATACTGCTAACGCTGTGCAAAATCAACAAACATGCTCACATCATATTGCATACTTTCCAAAAAATAAAACATGAAAAAACGTGATATTATGAATGTTACCTTTTTATATGTTTACTTTGCATATAGTTTTTTTTTTAAGCACAGAGAGAGAGAGATTTTTAGGAGCATATATATATATATA